ATATAACCTAAATTCGAATAATCTATCCAAACCTCCCTCATTTCTAAAATCACGCTATTGTACTACGCTTCTCTAGGATCACCCCTCCTATTTTTGTCGAATATCGAAGGTCGACCCTTTTCGGCGGTGTCTTTTGATGTGTTAACAACAGACGATCCGAACGGAGTGCGGCAACTTATACTGGTACTATATGAGTAGCAGTTCTGTAAACTTTGGTATTGGATACTTAAGATTTGGCAAAGAACACTGACTGAGCCACAGCAACGCGTGGCTGGGTAAGCTAGTAATACTATATAAACTGGTTGTTATGAGGAAGGTGTTGTGAAATGTGATTGTACTAAACTATCACTAATGTGGTATAGTATTACATCCTGTCAATAATCTTAATGTAACTAGATTTTACTCTACAGCCTACAGCTATTAAATCATATTTATCTTAAATTAACATGGATAGTGATGCCGCCAGACGAGACTTAAGGTTCGTCTCATCTCGTCTCGACATCTCGAGACGAAACCGTGACTAAGTCTCGGCCTCGAGTACCAAAGTCTCGTCTCATCTCGAGTGGTCTCGTCTGGTCTCGAGTTATACAGGGTGTCCAGAAAATAGCGTAAAAACTCTTCACTACCTGGTGGAGGACCCTTAAGGGAACCCCAGAAAAATATTGTAAAAAATCTAGTAGCATTCTTAAGAAAATTATTTGCATTTTAATGTTTATTAAAATTTACAACACTGAATATATCCCGTTGACAATATGTCAGAGAAATAAAATAAATACCTATGTAATTACCTGTAAAATTCGAAGGTGAATTATCACATTTACCTCTTCATATTACAAAGAATAATGCTGGACAAGGATTTTTTTAAATATTTTTTTAGGGTTTCTCAAAGGGTCCCCTCTTACGCTATTTTTCGCACACCCTGTATTTAGATTTTTATTTTATATTATAACGGAAGTTCAAACTGCCACAGTGAAGCAGTTATTTAAAGAGTGAAAAATCAGGTATGTAGAAATCATCCCAATCATTGTTAGTATTAAAATTTACTGATTTCATATTCATATAGCCCAGTATAATCCAATAATAAAGCTATGAGGGAAAAATTTTAATTGTGATCTTGAGACTACGCGAGACTCTTGCCGAGTCTGGTTTGGTCTCGTGGAGATTTCACAAGACGAGACCAAAAGCCAGTCTCGTCTCGAAAAGTCGGGACGAGACGAGATGAGACGAGACCAGTCTCGACTCTCGCGGCATCACTAAACATGGATTTAGGACTTATTTGTACATGATTTGTAATGTTAATGGGATACAACAATGCTTCCTTCAATGTTTCCCGTTCACAAATGAAAATCTAATATAATTTTTTCTTGGATTAGTGATTGTCTGTGATGATGGGTTATTATGCTTGGGGTGATGGGTTTGGTGTTTAACTGTTAACTTGTTTAAGTTGGGTACGTTGTTAGTTGTTATATATATATATATATATATATATATATATATATATATATATATATATATATAATAAAAAAATATTTGGTTTGATTTTCTATGGTTTTCCATCCATAGACGCGTTTCGACCTATCAGGTCTCATCAGTATGGCTAGGAAAAGCAAAGAAAACCAAACCAAGTTTCGTGCCTGTAGGCAATATATACAGGTCTCATCAGTATGGCTAGATGGCGCCACGATCAAATTTCGACCGTTGTACTATGTATATATTGCCTACAGGCACGAAACTTGGTTTGGTTTTCTTTGCTTTTCCTAGCCATACTGATGAGACCTGATAGGTCGAAACGCGTCTATGGATGGAAAACCATAGAAAGTCAAACCAAATATTTTCTCATCAGTGAATAATAGGTTTTCCTATTCTGGGTTTTCCCACGAACTGAATTTTGGTCGGCCGATTAGATTCTCAGTCACCATATTGCAGCGAAAATTGCTGCTTGGTGTTGAGGTTTTGTCTTAGATGGCGCCACGATCAAATTTCGACCGTTGTACTATATATATATATATATATATATATATATATATATATATATATATTATTTTTATATCATGTGTACCTACCTATTTGAATGAATAAAGTTTTGTTTCGCATATTTTGTTTGTTTTATATGTAACTGTTCCAAGCTTTTGATCCCTTCTTCCTTCTTTCTATTGGCATATTTTTTTTATTAAACCTATCGCAATTCAAATTTTGGAAATATTATGGAAACCCTACTTGCTTTTAAGGAAGTTTGCCCTTAAATCAAGTTACCTACTAGATTATCTCCCAAAAATGCTCTTGATAGTGATGAGCAAATGCAAGACCAATACCAAGACCAGGTTAGTTTGGGTTAGTGTTGGTCTTGGTCTTGCATATGCGGTCTTGGTCTTGCAGTCTGACAAGTGGCCTTAGACTTGGTATTAGTCTTGCAGGGTCCAGTCTTGGTCTTGCTCTTGCAAGTCTTGGTAGATTTTTACTGGAGGGAATGTTTACAAACAAAATTTTTAAAAAAAAAGGAAAATTGTTTTTAAAGTAATTAAAGGTTCAAAGAAACCTATATGTATTATTCTTGCTCTATATTCCAAAAATAATAGGGACTTAAAGCAGACTACGTCGTATCCTTTCCGTATCGAACTGCGCATGTGCAGAAGCGATACGAGCGTCGGAATGCATTACGAGCGTCGCATTTTTACGGTTTCCGTACCGTGAGTGTATCCCATAGAGAAATATAATAAACCAAGGTAAGAGTTACCGATTCATATGCGCCAAGTGGCAACGTATTTCTTGTAGCACATGGAGGCGCTAGTATAGCTTGAAACTATCTGACATCGGCTCCCATTCTTATATCTGTCTCTTATTAACAGATGTGATAAAAAAGGAAGAGAGGACATAGGGTTTTCTATTTATTATATTTCTAACCTATAAAATGACATTTTCTTTTTTCAAAACTGACAGAAATGAGTGAACCTAAAATTTATAAGTTTATTAAAAATGCATGATTCTGGTAAGATTCACAATGTGAAAATCGTTAAGTTTATGTATAAATAATGATAATTGGCGTTTTTCCGCATTTTTTGTCTGTCGACTGCAGAAAAACGCTGGGCTAGATTTCTACCTTCCAATATAATAAAATTATAATAAAAAAAAATTCAAAAAGCCCGCCCAAGCAGCGCTTTTACGTCCTAACAACGTCGTCCTTGATGTCTTGACGTCAAGGCGCGACGTCAAATAGACGACTATACAACCCTTATTTTCACCAAAATGGAGAATCATTTCATGGTTGTAACGACGTCGCAAGTCGCGAGGCTTTACCAATTTTCAACTTATATACGTCAGTATGCACAACCAGATTTGAACGTTTACTTAACGTCGTAAACCATGACTAACCTAAAAACAAATACAAAACCAAATAAAGGACGTTCCAGGTTTATTATATTGCACCAAATTCGCACTTTTGGTTTATTATTGGTATTATGTATTTCATTTCCCAACTCATCACATTAAAAACAAAATGAAAAGGTACTTATAAGAATATTGGGAGACATAAAATAATAATGGCGCCTGACCTTGTCAAAAATAAAATACGTGAAACTAAATTATTTAGCTTCTCTAGGTACAAAAATTTCAAACGAAGTCAACTTTTCTGTCAAATATAATTATGATATGCACCCAAAACAAACGAGCTCCTATTTTTTTTGATATTTTCAAAAAAAAAAAAATTTGAAATTTACATATTTTTTTATGACGTTTTTCGACTAACAATCATTCTTGATAAAAGTTTCTACTTCCCGCAAAAGAACGTTCTACGACGAAGCGAATTTTTGATTTTTCATGCAGAGTATTGCAGAGTCAGAAAAACTAAAATAATTAAGATGTTTTCTAAATGGCAAATTTACAGAGGGTTAAATTTACATTACGAACAAAAATGCATTGTATTTATTGAAAGCCGATTTTCACCGAAAACACGTCGTATATTGTATCATTCAAATTCAAATATTGAAATTTGCATTGCATTTTAAATTGAATATAGGTATATTCAAATCAAAAGTAAGTAATAATTGCATTGTTAAATAGTCCAATATTCGAATAGTCGAATATTCGAATAATCGAATATTCGAATAGCCGAATATTCGAATAGTCGAATATTCGAATAATCGAATATTCGGATAGTCGAATATTCGAATAGTCGAATATTCCAATAGTCGACTATTCGAATAATCGAATATTCGGATAGTCGAATATTTGAATAGTCGATAATTCGAATAGTCGAAAATTCGAATAGTCGAATATTCGAATAGTCGAATTTAGAATAGTCGAATAGTCGAATATTTGAATTATTCGAATACAATTCCGAGCCCTACTTTATTTATATTATAACTTAAGTAAAAGTAGTCTCCTTTTTTCACCGCAAACTATATGTATTGCTGGGGTGACTTATTTTTCAAGAATTTACGTATTTAGTAGGTACATATGTTTTTTGTTTAAATTTTATAAACATAAATTACATGAACCACAACAACGCCAAAAATAAAAATTTCTATCAAAAAACGTTCTCAAACTGATAGAAACACTTTAGAAATTCACAGAAAAATGAAAATAAACAGGGTTAAAATGAGGTTAAGCTGTGTAAACAGTCTCTTATGGACGTCAAGGTCAAGTTTGTTATGCCGCACCGCCATCTTGAACGTCAAACATCAAACTGCCCTATAATAAATAATAAAATAATAATAAAGTGGAAGGCTAAAAGCTACTTAAATTTATAGTTGCCAAAACCAGTGTGTGGTAATTTTGAAATATGTCGGACTTTTTCATAGTGGTTTATATCAAAGAACTGAAGGAAGTGGAGCCCGTGCCCTGTCGTTGGGAAGAGAAGGGAATATTGTACTAGCCTGCCTCAAAAAAGGAGGTGCGTCAAAACCAGTCGAATGCCAAAAGCATTCCCCATAAAAATACCTGGATAAAATATACCTGTGAGGTTAAACAAAGTAATATACTATTGTTCAATCATGCCTCATCAGCAGCCGACCGTATCTGTGAAGACTCTTCTACTGAGGAAGAACGAGATGAAGTTATTAAACATCAAACCAAAAGGAAAAGAAATGCAAACAAGTCTACATACAATGATAGTAATTATGAGTTTTTTAATAACAATAATAATCCAGGCACATCGAAACTACAGCCCGAGATAGAGAGGGATGAAGACCTCGAAGACACTAGTAGTGAAGTAGAAATAGAAAGTGAAAAGACTATAGTGGCATCAGACCAGGCTTTAGACGGTGCTTTTGAAGTGTTGATACCACATAGTCAACTATCAACGGAATTCGAAAAATTCGAGGAAAAATTATATGAGTTTTTGAAAAAACGTAAGTAGTAAACAATAATCAAAAAAACAAAGTACGTTCTACATAAGCTTTTTTTTTTAGTTGAAACAAACATTGACCTCAAATTTGCAGAAGTTGCTGTTAAGCTTGACCATATTGATGAAAGACTAAGACAATGTGAATTGCCACCTGAAAAAGATGATACAAATATGTTATTTCCATTAAATTATATAAATAAGGTGCAAGAACTGGAACATAAACTAAATATAGCCGAATTCAAAGCCAAAATATTTGGCCACCTTCGACGAGTGAATGGAACAGGATTGTTTTGGAAATGTGGATTCCTATTCACCAAGTAAGGCATTAGTGTATGTACAGGGTGTCAAGTTATAAAGTACCACTATCTGTAACTTTTTTATTTTTGATCGTACATAAGAAACTTACAGGTGGTGGTACCTACTTTATAACTTGACAGCCTGTACATACATAAAAATAATATTAATTATTTTGCTCTTTTTGGATACTTAGGTGTAAAAAACTGTTTCGACTCTGGCAATTTGAGATGGGAATTATTAGTACTTTAACATAGTCAAATTTACTTAAGGTTGTACAGGGGGCATGTATATTAATAACAAAATTTTCCAATTATCTTTTAGGTCCTTGTTAACAAATTATTCGTGGACAGGTTTGAGTAGGACAAGTGCAGCCAAAGAACCTTTCAACAAATTAGGCAATATTTTAGGTGAGTAGTTTTTTGCTTTATTCAAATTATGCTTCAATCAGTACTACATCCAATAATAAAATATCAAGTAAAATCTACCAATTACATATTAGACAGTCTTGCAAATGCCTAATTAAATTCAGTTTTTTTCCAGACTTATTCTATAAAGTAGTGCAATATTCTGACAATTCGTTCAATTATTCCCAAAGAGATTAATTTTTCCGTGATGGGGTACTTAAAACATAGTATCACAAGACTCAATGGACCAAAGAAGAAGACGCTTTTACAAGGTAGCTTAATAGGGCGCCACTGGTTTACAAAATACAATCCGCGGACTTAAACCAGAAAGTCCCTGATCTCCAAAATTCCTATAAAAATGTACCTACCCAATGTACCTATCCTTTCAAACAACTTTACCTTAGTTTGGTTGAGGTCAGTAGGGATAAAAATAAGAGTCCAATCCAAAAACAATTATTAAAAATCTATTTAATAAAATGGGGGGGGGTATGTGTTCAAAACTGCAAAAGACCAATATAAGGCAATATATAAAATGCCACAAGATACATAATATTATTAACTGTAAATGTCAAAATTACCAACAGGTAGCAAGGACCAAGTTGTATTGGTCTTATAAAAGGCAATATTTACCAATGAAATGTTTAACCACCTTACTTCAATGGAAACAAGAGAGAACAAATAAACAATAAAGATGTTGATAATAATAATTAAAACCTGTACACGCTTATACCATGGTATACCGGGGCGGGTTTGTACAAAATGTCACCTTAAATATAGTACATTAAAAATCATTGGTACTGCACACCCATTGTTGTAATAATTAAGGCAGTAAAACAACCTTGGAAATATGCCAAGTAAATACAAGAAAATACTATTAATCATAATTAAAAATATTAATTGAGAAATGTTAATAAATTTACGGGTACATCACCCCTTGTAGTCCTCTCTGCAGTTTAGACACCCATTTACATAACTGCCTCCTGACAGCATCACAGCCCTGATAACAGACCCATAAGCTTCCATAGACTTCCCTCTTAAAAATTTGATTTTAGGTTTCAATTCAGTGCTGTAGGCACTCTTGACACCTCAGTCTCGAGACCAGCAAACCGTCAAAGAGAAAACCCAAAGGTAAAGATTCTAAAAAATCCTAAAAACCCTGAAAGAGTACAAAAGTCTTAAAACTCCTTCATACTTATAAAAAAATGAAAAATCCCAACCCTCAAATGGTATATAAATGATTGGAATTACATAAGCAAAAACCCCTGAAACATGTAGGTTATCTTAAACAAAAAATCCCTTAATTAATAAGCCCATTATTGCCCCTTAAACGATTAATAAGTTTTTTATTGAACATGGCCTCCTGTAGCTCAAATTCCCTTTTTTATTGAATCCCAAGTATTTACAAAAATACAGATAAGTTAATCTAAATATTGATAACGAAAAGGTGAATTTGAGAATGGCAAAAACGTTTAAAATTACCTGGTTACAATTTGGGCTAGTTGAACAAACGTGCTCTAGTGCTTCACACGACAAACCAACAAAATGGCGTAGACTTCGTTTCCAGAAAATTCTGTGTGGTTGGCTTACAAACACGGGGACGACCAAATCCAAAGCTTCCACCCCAAAACCAATTAACCCAGTAACCACTTGAAATCCCAGCGCCTTCAAAATCCCACAAAAAGGTGGATGTTCCTAGGAACTTAGCCAAGAGGACCGCTGGTAAAATCTGCCAAGAAACTTGTTGCTTGCTCAACGTGCGAAGTTAAAAGAGAACGATCCCTTTTCAGCGATTTATTAGGTAGGCTCAATATGAAAAATTTTCTAGAATTCCAGTTTTTTCTTTAAGATGTCCTCTGGTGCCAGATTTCCGGTCTTGACCAGGAAAGTGGAACACCCAGTTTGGAACGGAACACAATCAGCTTGAAACGGAACTCTCCAAACCACAATGATGACCTATAAAACTCAAAGTTGTTATCAATTCTCTCCCCTAACACCAATTAGAACCAATTAATTACTTATAGAAGTTATTAAACAGCATCTACCCAGTCTTCAGACTAAAATCTATCAAAACGACCAGTGACTGTTTAGGGATTACAAATACAGTGACCCTATTACCCACAGCGGTCAAAAAACGTCGGCAACAGTGTTGCCAGAAACGAATCCGCAAGTGGCTTATAACCCCATTATATTTTGAGAGAATAAACATTTAGAAAATGCGAAAAATAAAGGAAATAAGGGTGGAAAATCGATTTAAAGTGTGCTAAAGTGATTTGTGTTGTTGCAGAATTTTTAATAAAGGAAAATACGAGATTCGTAAGTGTTGACAATTGATATTTATTTGAAAGTAAACAAACCTTTTCACCGATGTTTAGGCCCTTTTAGAAAACTTTCGAAAGCTAAATAAAGTAGATTCCTATCCTAACAGTGGGGCGTTATCACCCTAACACAACCCTGTCATCTGAATACAAATAATTTACTCATTATTACCTCGAAAAATATACCCTAGATATTGTTTCGCATCTAAACAAAAAGGTAAAAATCTAGCAAAATTCAATGAGCAACCTATCAATCACTGAAAAACATTAATATACAGCTTTATAAATACCCTCACAAATAACTGAATTAATTACTAAATTCATTCGAAAACTTCAGTTACGTTAAGGCAAAATTTTAACGTAAAAATGTATTTAATTTGTAAAAAAAAAGAATAATTTATTTTTTTCCAGGTAAGGAAAATATTGACATAAGACAAGAGCAGCAAGGGCAAACCGAAGAAAATGATGATACAGAAGATATGGATTAGATTTTTTTTTATAAAATTTTATAAACTATACCAAATTACCTAGTTAGGTACTCATTTTGTTTAAGGAAAGAAGCAATTTAAATTTTAGTTTGTACCTATAGGTAATATTATGTACAAGGATGAAAATTATGTTTTTTTTAATAAAATATAAAATAACACTGACATTTTGTTTTGATCGAATACTTACAGGTACAGGTAAGTTCATGAGAACATGAACATAACAGGGTCTCAAAAAAAAAATCAAAGATCGCTATGATTTCTTAAATGTATGTCTAGCAATATTTTTCTTAATTTTGCGATTGAATTTTGTGTCAAAATGTTGTGTCAAAAATCCTGACCAATAAACACTAATGCAAGGTACGTTTTTGTTATCAAAGCACTCTTTGATATGTTTTTTTTTTGAAGACCCGTTAGATATACAAAGTATGTATATAATTGAGTTATTTCAATTCATCAATACATACTTAATATATACCTACCCACTTAAATTTTGAAATTCAAACTATGAAGCAATGGCAGAAAGACTTGTTTCTGATTGTAATTGAAACCTATTAGTTTACATTTAATATCATCAGATATGTAGATAGATTCCGAAAAAATGTTATTTTGTAGAACATATATATGCAAATGACTAGATTTAAAAGGGTAATCAAATAAATCTTCATATTTACCAAGAAGACTTGATCCATATATGGAGGGTTCAGAAGCCAATTAGTGTAAGTCATTTTTTTTTCAAATTGCATTATTTGCTTCAAGTATTACCCCAATGTTCAAACTTTCGGTTGACAAAACATTCAAGTCACTACTTTGAGTTGTTACCAATAGATGCCGGAACTTATCTTGACCAATGAATAAAAATTCGAAATGTTCGGAAGTCATAAGGTGTAAGTCATTTATTTACAATATTCATTCAATTCAAAACCACACTTGAACACAATGAGTGAAAATATTCTTTTTTTATCGCCAGAAGAGGATGAAAATGATCCCTATTCCGATAGTGGGTCAGAATATGCTCCAGAAAATGAGGATATGCACGAAAATTCTTCTGATTCTGGTAAGTGATTTCCTAACCTCTGAATCTGAATTATAAAATTTTTAAGAAAATGCTTCCTAATTTAATTATTTAATTACATAAATAAAATAATACATAAAATAATATGGAATTTTTCGTTAAAATGTATTGTAATAATAATTACATTATCATTGTTTCTTGACTTAGGTATACTGACCTCGGAAATTTTGTTTCAGAATATCCTGAAGATGATGATGTTGAGAAAGTTGAGATTGATAATAACGTTATCGAAAATGAGGATGGTAATAACAATGAGACTCCAAAGTCTCCAAATAGAGGAAGGAAACGCAAAAGAAACCCAAGTACATGGAAACGAGTAGTCAATTCTGCAAATAGATCCACTGGAAAAGCTTACGTCAATAGAAGCGGTAGAAATGTATCCGAAAAAAAATTCAAAAATGCTGATTGTCAATGTGCTCGACGATGCTCTACTAACGTAAGACCTGAAGAAAGGAAAATCATGTTTGATTCTTTCTATAAATTAGGTGATAATACAAAGCAAAACATTAACCTTCGAGGGCTAATTCAAAACAGCCCAATTAAACAGCGCCGTTCTAGAAATTCTTCAAGACCACCAAAATCAAAAACCATAAAATATTTTTTAACTACTTCAACGAAGTCAACTCGTGTTTGCAAAATTTTTTTTATAGATACGTTTCAAGTGAGCGATGCACGCATCTATAAAATCTCATGTCAATCAGAACCGTCTGCTTGCATTGATAAACGGGGCCATAAAGAACCAAGTAATAAAATAGATATAACAAACGTCAAAGAACACATACAATCATTCCCTTGTTACAAAAGTCATTATGCCCTAGCTGATGCTCCAAATAGAAGATATTTGAACCCAGATTTAAATATCAGAAAAATGTTTGTGCTGTATGAACAGAAATGCGAACAAGAAGGCTCACAGGCGGTCAAAGAAAAGATGTATTATCACGTCTTTTCTACACATTTTAATCTTCATTTTAAGCCACCTGCTAAAGATACGTGCCAGCTATGCGACAATTTGCAGAACGTTATCACTTTTGAGAAAGATGAGGCAAAAAAAAATACAGCAATAATAGAAAAAGAAGTCCACCTAAGAAAAGCACAATTAGCCAGATCATGTCTTAACAATGACAAGCTTTCTGCTGATGAGAACGTTTACGTATTAACATTCGATCTAGAAAAAGCTCTTCCTTTTCCAAAACTCAGCACTTCAGTTGCTTATTATAAGGTGAATATGTACGTTTATAACTTTGGAATTCATACTTTTAATAACAACAAAGGATACATGTTCATGTGGGATGAAACTGAAGGATCTCGAGGTTCCCAAGAAATTGCATCGTGTCTGGTGAGACATCTGAAAGAGGAAGCTAGTAATTTCAATCATATTGTTATGTATTCCGACTGTTGTACAGGCCAGAACCGGAATATTAAATTAAGCTTATCTTTGCTGAAACTTACACAAGACCCAGTAATGTCCACATCTTTTATTGACCATAAGTTCCTAGTATCTGGACATAGTTACCTCCCAAACGACGCTGACTTTGGTATCATTGAGTCAAAATCAAGAAAAAAAGAATTTATTTATGGTCCTAGAGATTGGTTCAACTTAGTTGCAACTGCAAAAAAAACTAATCCATTTCAAGTAACTGAAATGGCCAGAGAAGAATTTGTCTCGACGAAACCTTTAGAAGACTCGATTTGTAATAGAAAAACTAATACGGACGGAGGTAAAGTTAATTGGCTAAACATAAAATGGCTCAGATATTGCAAGAATGAACCAAACCTAATTTTCTATAAAGAAACGTTGCAAGATGATTTTCCGTTTTTTAAGATCAACATAGCAAGAGCTCCAGGAAAAGGAAGACCTCCCAATTTGGTTAATATTGTCCAGGAGCCACTCTATCCAAATCGCAGGCCTGTAAAGCCAATCAAAAAGAGGCACATGTCTGATTTGCTAACTTATATTCCGCCGCACTACCACCCATTTTATAAAAGTTTGCCGATACTAAACGAGAGAACACGAACTTCAACTTCAAAACAACCAGAAACAGCGGAAAATGTCAGTGATAATAACGATTCAGATTACATAGATTAGTTTTTAAATAAAATTTCAGAGGACACTTAGCTTAAGTCATTTTTTTTTATTTTATTTTTTATTTTTTTGTAGGTGTGTCCTATTTTTGTTCTAGTTTTCTTGTAATTATGTTAGCCAATATAATATGTTACAATAAAAAAAAAATCTGCAATTTCTCAGGCGTTGTTATTTTTTTATTTCCAAATTTTGAAAAAATCAATTTATTCCATTTTATTGTTTATTGACTTACACTGATTGGCTTCTGAACCCTCCATATGTAGATTTGATTTTTTTTCCTATAGGCACAAGGAACCAAATCTTTTAACGTCATCCACTACATGGTTCAAGTTATGAATATTGCTTGAAATAGAATCCATTCCATATATAGATATAAAGCCTTCAATGTAATCCCTAAACAACTTTTCGGCAAGATCTAATTTGTCAGAATAATAATCAGTTGAACATAACGTTACAGCACAAAACAAAAGCAAATGATGCCTATATATTTCTCGTGGTAAGTGGTCTCTTAATATAAGAGGGCCTAGATAAAGTAGAAATGTTCTGAACTCTGTCGCTTTCCAGAATGATAAACAATCAAGCTGTCTTACTGAACGATGAATTTCTTTAGGAAGACAATTATTGCAACTAAGAAGCCAGCTAGAAATTATACTAATCTGATTGGAAAAAAACTTCATTTTAAAAGTTTTACTTCCATTTACCCATATTGTGAGACATTTTTTCATGACTCTAAGATCTAAAAGATGTAATGAATCCGCAACCACAATGTCCTTGATAATTTCAATTGGCAACTCTTCTAAGGGGCTAATTTGAAATGCTCCGTCTATGTCTTTCATTTGATGATCTGAATGAATTTTCCTCCTAAATTCCGAATCTGTTCTTTTTGGACAGTCAAGTTGTGGAAAGCTCATATGTCTCTCTGTTTTGAAGAATTCTCCTCTTACTGTACATTTTATGCAGCCATCGTAGGCATTAAAAGAAACTACACCTAAAATATAATAAAAAGTATAAATAGTTTTGAATACAATATTGCTTGTAGGTACCTACATTTAATAAAGCTTTTGGCAGGTCTGTCACAGATAAACTCATTAATTTTCACTTGGACAAAACCCTCATTTATAATTAAACCATGATTCATTATTGCAAGCAATTCCTTCGCGAACTTTTTTAGAAAAATATCTGCACTAGGTGGTTTTGCCTCTCCATAAAATATTGCTATAGGAAGTGGCCAGATATGAGGCATATTGGCAATATTAGTCAAAATTGGCCAAAACTGATGTTTAGAGCTCTTATTTATTGGTAGTCCATCGACATGAAAATTGAGCTTTACTACACAGGGCTGATTTAGATCTATGAGCATTTCTTTCAAACAGTTGCCAAGTCCGTTATGCCAATATTGCCCTCTTCCCATCGTTTCTACTGAAGGTATATTTCGAGGAGTCTTTACTAGTGACCTATCATCATTGGGCAAATCTCGAATACCACAAAGTGATAATGCTTGTAATAAGTCGTTAAGGGCAGAGTGACTAATATTATTTTTTAATGCCCACTGCCGTAAATTTCTTCGGAGTTTTATGCTCATCTTTTCATCGTCTACTTTGTCAGTTATTTCACTGTTAGACTTATCATATTCACAGTGGATATGGTCATCGCTTGAAATATTTCCTTTCAACCCGACATTTATTGAATCTTTCTCAATTTCCTGATTGTGAATTGCAGGGTTCTCTTCCAATTTCCCTTCTTGCAGTTCCTGCTCCATTTCCTTCATGTTTGGTGGAAGACATTTTTCGCTTTTCACTAAATCTAAAAATCTTTTTCTTCTTCTATAATATGTGGATGAGTATTTGAAGCTCTTGTTTCGTCCCATATCAAAAATATAAAAGCAAAAGAGTACTAATTTAAATTCTTGATTTTTTTTATAGTGTTATATTGTTTGTTTATGTTTTTATTTGACGGATGGCAGTTTATTACCGAACGACGCGAAAAGTATGAAATACTACACCAAATTTTACCTGTGTCCAATTTTAACGTTGGCCGGACGTTTTTCTAAGACTTCTATCTGACCTTATGATTGGTGGTGCCAGACGACGTTTTTAAAACGTTTCAGAGGTCATAGGATATAAAGATAACGTCAGATTGACGTCTTCAATGCAACGTTGAATTGGGTACAATATTATGACGTCCAACTTACGACTTTTATCTCACCTTATAATTGGTCGCAGTAGACGACGTTCAAAAAACGTTTCAGAGGTCACAAGTATACAAGAGGACGACGGATTGACGTCATCAATTTTACGTTAAAACTGGTTGTCATTTATTACGTCAAAATTAAGCTAGATAAAGGTACGATTTCTTGACCACATAATAAGAACGACGGCCGGACGTTATTTTAACGAAAATTCATTGACGGTCACTTATCTGCACGGTATCTGCACTTCTGGCGACGTTGTATTTGGTTAATACGTAGTCGCAGGGACATATATGTGCTACTTGGGCGCCAAATATTATTTAAGTTTGTCTTGTAGTGGATAGTGGCGCTAGTATCGATATTACGTCATCGCGATGCCAGTGTCGCACCACAGAATCGGTAACTCTCAAATTGGTTTATTATATTTCTCTATGGTGTATCCGTATCGCATCCCTGACAGAACGTCAAAAAGTCACAGTGACATAACCTGAACAAATTGTTTTATTCTTATTTCTTATGGCGTTCCCGATTGGTAGATTCAGTGCGCACTGAGTGTATTTCCATCCTTTTATTCAAACTGTAGAAGAAAAAGACAGGAATAGAAAAAATTGCACTAGTTCCGCACTAGATCTACCAATCGGAAACGCCATTAGATTGTTTATGAATTTGTTTTGTTGTTCGTCCACTGTTCAGTTTCGCGATGGATAAAAGAAAAATATTGTATTATACAGCGCACGATGACCTGCTTCTCCTCAAGGAGGTAGTGAGTCTAAACCCTTTTGAAAATCGGTCTCGGTGGAGCCTTATTCAAAAAAATATTGAGAAGACGACTGGTGAAGACTTTAAAGAAAAAGGCCTAAAAGACAGGGTGAGTCTCCTGGTTGAAAAACTTGAAGAGAAGAAAAAAAGGGAGGAATTCAAGTAAGTGACTATTTTCTTTGATTTTTTGTCGAGTAACTATCTGTAGGTACTCTACTCCAGTCGAGAAGTTTCCTAATAGGCCCCTTGCATCAAATTTTTTTATTGTTGATTTCGATAGTCCATGAAAAATAAGTCAACACTTGTTTTTTCTTTTTCTTGTTAAGTCAAAAATTGACGGAGATACAACGCTTTGAAATATCCTTCTGACGTCATAACTTATAATACGTTGCGACGTCGCACATGCTCAGTATATCTATATATGCAAAACTCAATGTTTTTTAACTTTCGAAATAATCATATTTGGACAAAATAAAAAAACACGCATCGATTTTTTTTTGATCTCCTACAGTTTGCAATAAACAATAATCAATTTAATTTTCCATGCAAGTACCCTATTATTATGTATCTATTATAATACAATTGTGATGAGAGGTTGCTTCCATGGACAGCTCATTAACTGTGAGGATTTAAAAAAAACAATCAAAATTAGGTATTCTTATTTGTTAAAACAAGAATATGAAGCAGAGTTACCTAAGAAATATAAAAAAATTACAAGCTTAGAAGTTTGTCCTATTTCTAAAATATTTTAGGTTTTAAAATGACCTTTAGTAATGTATTCTTTGTTGCTGCTTTTGCTACTACGTAATATATAATTTCATTTGAATCATAATATTTAAGATCTCGGGTGGAAGAGGAGGTGACTGAACTAGATGATCTATTGCACTCTATTTTGTTATTAATACAAGATTTCAAAACGTCTAAAACACGTCTAACGCCTTATGAAAAAGGGTTCCAGAAAAGAGAGACAGCTTCTCAGGCGCAGACAGAGTCACTAAATAGTAGGTACAGGGTATAGTTTTGCATTTAAGCCATTAAAGTATTTTTAGGAATGTATGATAGTGCTCCATAAGTTTTTAAAGTGATGAGTGTATGAGACTTTACTTCATGTTATTTTTTTCCATGTTTTTTAGCTTATGAAGAGATTCAGTTGAATGAAGTCGTCGAGAGTGATGAAGCACCAACTGAAATTATTTATGTTGATGAAGATGGAAATTTTCTTGAAAACAATGAGAATACAATTAGAAACAATGAAAATACAGTTGAAAACAATGAAAATAAAGTTGAAAACAAAGGAAAAACAGTTAAAAAAACACTCGTTGCAAAAGCAAAATCAGTTATAAGCAGAGCACAAAGATACGGGAGACGTGGCAGAGGTGGTCGAATTCTAAGTAAGAGTTCAATTAATTTGTAGCAAAGAGTTGTAGATTCAAACAAACTTTTTTTTTATCATAGCTCCATCAAGAGTCAGAATAGTATAAAGCAAACGTCATTAAAGTACCTTGAAACCAAGAACGAGCGCTGGTATAAAATACGTTCTAGAGAACTGGACCTTGAAGAGAAGAAATTTGAATCTGAGCGAGAAGAAAGAAAACGAAAAATGCAAATGGAAGAAGAAAGACTGGAATTGGAAAAAAAGAAACTCAAGATTGATTTAGATCTGTTTCACAACCAGCAAAAACTTATGGAAATTGCTTTCAAAGCCAAGTGTGGTTGTACCAGTCAAAATACATTGATCTAGCTTTATTTTTGTATGTTTAAAAATGAACAGTATTTTCGAATTTTTGAATAAAGAAACAGTTTCGTGTCTAATCTCAAAATGAACAGTGGATTTCTCTAGAGGCGTCATCAATTGACTCTGCAGCAACGACGTTAACAGTATAATCTGCTGGCGTCACATCTGATGCTCACACAAGTAATAGCGATTTCAAAAACGAAACCATTCCAGTTGGTATACAAAATAATACTCCATTCAACGTTTTAAATAGTACACCAATAATAATAAATGCTAATTTGGAGTACACATGGTCACACCTAGATGTTACATGGAGTAAGATCCCTCAGTTTCGTCGAGCTTCCCCGTACAAAATATAAGCGGTGAGGAAATATCGCTACAGTAGCCCAAAATAATAATTTAAGTCAGCACGCGCCTATAAGTTGAATAATTGGGGTGGGCTACTTACGTCTTTCCCGGAAAAGATGCGAGTGCCTGGCTGACTAGACTAAGCGATTTCTATAACCAGTGTCATTTCAATTTATATATTATTTGCTGTTTTATTCCACGTATTATTTAGTTGTGTTGTTTGATATTGATTATCACCATTTAAAGAAATAAAAATTATGTGACACCCATGTTCTTTATTTGTTAGATGTATGCCGACTAGATGTTTTTCTAGTGTTTCAGTTCGGATTAAAAATACTATACACAAAATGAGAAATATAAAAACAAAAATTCCAGTGATGGCGTTTAAGCACATTGCTAATAAAATTGTCCTTAAATATCCCCAAACATTTTTCAAAAACGAGATTGACGGAGATTGATAGACCGAAGCAATTATTTAAAATAAAAGAAACTGAGTTATTCATTCAATCCCTAAAATGTGTTGATTCGCATTACACACGGGATCAAAGTATGAGAGTATACTTTCTTAGTGACTATTCTGTGCGTAGATTATGGAAGCTACATAATAACGAAGCTGAATCGCAAAATCAATTAGTCAAATATCAATTTTTTTTCGGGATATTTCCATGAATGATTTCAACATTAGTGTCAAAACCCCAGCAACAGATGCTTGCTCTGAGTGTATAAGATTTAAATCAAGAATGTCTATTCTGAAACGCCAAGAAAATGCTGGAGCAATGGCATGATATACTGTGCATAAACTGAAAGTGAAGGCATTTCATGAACTTCTCAGAAAATTAAATTTAACAGTCTTAAGTTTTTTCCCCACTGTCAAAAAAACCTCGTATTGCCTAAAGTCCTTGATCAAAGCGGATATTATTATGTTAGGGACATTCAAAAAATATTTGAAATAAGGATACCGTTAATAAACAGGGTGTTTGGCGGAGGGTTAGCCAAACTTGGTGGGCGTATAGATAGGCCCATTTCGAAGATATTTCAATGATACACTTTTAGCCGTAAGTTCCCCTTTTTTTCATCATTGCTTTCGTATTGTTCTCAAGAATTTTCAAAAATTGACCTTTTAACTTCTGTAACCCTTTTTAAAATGTTTATAAAAATATTTTTTTCGTGTGTTTTTGGTTTGTAAGATATCCTTGATCTTCATGAAAGTTACAGAAATTGAAAGGACCATTTTCGAAAATACTTGAGAATAATACAAAAGCAATGATATAAAAAAAACGGGGCTCAGTTAAGCTGGCCCCCCCAGTTGAATTTTTTTGCTCAATAAGCTAGCGCAGATAGAGGATATCTAGCGCACCACTTTTAAAAGCTAGCGCACCAGCCCCCGCGGAAATAGCAGAGGATGCGATCGGGGGGGGGGGGGGGCAGATTAACGCTAGCCCCCCCAGTTAATATTTTTGTCTCAAAATGCTAGCTCAGAATAAGGACACCTAGCGCAGGCTAGCGCACAACTTTTAAGAGCTAGCGCAGCAACCCCTGTGCTCATAGCAGG